CTTCGCTTGGCGTACAACCAGTGTTGCACTGCGCAAGTTTCCTACACCTTCCGTGTCAATCTATTCACTTGAATCAATCAGTTTTCTTACATTTTCGACCAATCATGTCTTGTCGGCACAGTCGGCCAGGTGTCGGCAATTTTATGGTATGGGTGCTTGCATCTAATAGCGCCCAAGGATGGCTTCAAATGAGACGGAAGTTATTACGTCAAGTACTCGAAGAAAACCTCAAGACCGAGCATCTCATGAACGCCAAGGTAGCAGATATGGTCTATACCGATATGTGTGGGCTATAATTGATATGTTGTGCTGACACAGCAGCCGGGGGATCATCAGAAAAAAAGGGGGACCTAAGGAGACTGCCGGTAGGACGGACAACGTTTCATGCGCGGAAACTATCAACCCAGTTCCGACACCAAGCCGACCAGCCCGTAGCCAGCGGTCATGGCCCGTTTCAACATGTTCTGCCTCGCGCCGACTTGACCCCAACCTATCCTCTAGTACTGGAGATCCGTACCTGGCTTCAGATGATGAAGCCGTTTCGGGAGAAGAGGACGGCGTCCTAGACGAAGTAGCTCCGTCTTCGTCGGATGATGAAGTTGCGGAAGAGGATCCTCTTTCAACTGATTTACTAGCCGCAGCAACACCGATTGATCTCGTAAATCGTGTCCGAGGTAGGGATTTTATACTAACACATACTACTCGCTTATCCGGACAGTCTTGGTGTCAGGATAGGATAAGCTAACACTGTCTGTATATATTTTGAAGAATACACTGACACAATGTGACGTAGACTCCGCAACTGTGTATAGCGATCCCGAACTTCGAACAATGGCAACAAGTGGATGGCAAGTGCTTCCCCAAAATACTGTTCCGTCGGTTACTGATACAGCTGACGTTGATGATATCTATGATGGCTATTGTGGACCAAGCGATGAAGTCATGGAGTGTGGTTTGGACGTTCTCAAGTTGTTTCTCTTTTTTCTACCGAAGTCGTTGTGGCAGCAAATTGCTTCAGAGACCCATCAGTACTGGGAACAAACACTAGATACACGTGTAGACAAGGCATTTTCGGCCCAAAGCGATGAAGACGGCAATCAAGCGCGTCCTCCACGTACTCGTGAGAAGATAATGGCAAAGATGAGAAAGTTTCAACGAGTTATGCCACACGAGCTGCTTCATTGGACTGGCCTTCTTGTGGCATGGATGATGGCACCGATGAAACGACTCTCTGATCATTGGGCTAGCGCAAAATGTGGTGTTCTTTCTGAAGGAACGTTCGGCCAGGTAATGGCTCGTGGCCGCTTCAAGGAGATCAGTCGGTTCTTATATTTTTCGGACAATAATGACCCGATGGCTAAAGCCGACCGGGCATGGAAGATTCGTCCCATTCAGTGGAGAAAACGTTTGAGTCTGGATACGTGTTGGGGTCTCGTATCTCTATTGATGAAGGGATGCTTCCTTGCAAAAATCGCCACAATCCGACCCGGACGTATCTAAAGATAAACCTCATAAATGGGGTTCGAAATGCGTTATAACCTGCTGCGCGTTCACTGGACATTGCGTGAGGTAAGCGATATGCTGACTTGTATGTTTTAAATTGCTAACTTTATACTTACATGAACAGAACCGAGCTCGATGTAGGCAAGAAGCATCACATTCAAGATGGACGAGCGCGAAACACCAAGAGTGGGCCGGCGGCAATAGCACGCAACCTGGCGTGTCTATTTGGAGAGAAGTCTTACCAGAGACGTCGTATTGTATTTGCAGGCTGCTTCTATTCGTCCGTGCCGCTGGTTCAACAATTACGCACCGTGGGTTTCACTACTGCGGTACGATCCAGAAGAACCGCTTGGGGTGGTGTAAGGATGTCATCTACAACTTCAAAAAGCACCCTAAAACTACACCTCGTGGGATGTTATGGTTGCCACTGCTGAGGTTGATCCGGGCCTAGTCGCTCTAGGGTGGGTTGACAACAAGCCCGTGTACTTTTTGGCATCTCACGTGAGCACAGCCATTACGAGTATCAACAGAAGGGAGAAGGACGGTTCTATCTCTACCGTCGTTTGCCCCAAACTGGTCCGTGAGTACCAGGTACATGTGTGTGTGTGTGTGTG